ACTAGAAAATAACACTGAGTCTTCACCTTGTGCCCAGTTTGGGGCTAGGCGAAGAGGAGCCCTGTGCGGGGTGACAGGCTGCCTACCTTGTGTCTGTGGGAGGCGACAGGGATGAGCTGTTCCAGCAGCTAGTCCCCACCTCCTAATTGCACGGCTTTGCATGGCTGCTGCTGTCGCTATAGGTAGGTTAGGATCTGTGGAGACAGTCATTGCCAAATTGCCTTTATGCTACATGAACTGCATGCTCTAAAGTAGAAAAAAAAATGTAGGAAAACCGTTCTCTGGCACTTTCTTCTTGGCTCTCTGGCTCTCCTTTTCTGCAATAGGGGAAGGCCCTTTACTAACTTCTTTTCCACTCTGCTCAAGATGTAGAAGGGTAGAGGCAGTGCTTTCTCACAGGTAGGGAGAACCATGTTTGGGGGAGATGGGGAGGATTTATGGATCCTGACAGGGAGGATGAAAGGTCCTGTTTCCTCAGGGGGATGGAGGAGAAGGATGGCAGCTCCTCTGTGGGAAGAGGAGGCTGGAGAAGAAGAAAAAGAGAGATGTTCCTCTCCATAGACACCTGCTTCCTCCTCCCCGTCCCTGGAGCATTAGTGAACCCTCCTGCCCTCTTCCTGCTGATTCATACTGGGGACACCTGGCTTTTCTTCCCAAGTGCCTCCTAAAATCCTATTTTGCCTTTATTGCTGATCTGTGCAAGTTCTGTTTCACCTCAGTAATGGACTGCAGAGGCTGAAAATGAACATAATACTCAGGGATATTTTTGGTCAGAAACCAGGAGACTGAGCATTGTCAGTCAAAGCAGAGATCTTAACTGAGAAAGAGAATCCTAACAAAGTCCCAACATCATCACCTTGTGTGCCAATATAACTGCATCAGCCTGAACTGTGGGTTCATCACATCTGGACTTGGCTAGTTGTTGTAATTAAAATCCAAGAGATAGGTAGTGTAGTAAACAATTTAATGAGTAGGTGGCACTCTCCTCTGAACCACGCTTGAACCATGACCCAGAAAGTGCAGAAGTGCACACAGTAAAATAAGTGGGACATATTCATCAGCAGTATGCTTCGTGGCATTGTATCTCTGTTGGGAAATATACTTCACTTGGACACAGAATTCTTAGGCTCAGTAAAACTGGCACCTTTGTAAGTGAATGCAGCTTATTCTTTCATCTCATGTGCTTGGAAGAGACAACTGCCTGGACTGGGCCAAACTCTGCATACCTAGTTTGGTCACCATAAGCAGAGGAACAGAGACAATCAATTCTCTCTTCACAAATCAGATGAATAATTAAGATGGCCTCTCTTAATGCACTGTGTTCTTATAAAATGCATAAATGAAATCTTCCATTTTAATCTGGCTTCCCTCAATTTCTGCAACAAGGTGGATATATTTTAAATAAGCATAAAAAAATGTGTTCCCTATTGCTTGGTCTCCTTCCATAGTTCCCTGCTTTCTCTTCCACTCAGTTCATATTTATCATAGCCTTCATGAAATCTTCTCCAGGGAGACAGAGGACCTGATTCTGGTAAAGACAGTACCTGAGAAGCCACCTCAGGTTTCCTTGATAGAAAGTGTCACCAGCATACTGTCTCTCTGCCTGGCTCTGCCTCCCCCTCGTCCCCAGCCAGCAGCCCACAAATGTTCGATAAAACTGCTCCTCCACACCTAAATGTTCTTGTGCCAACAAAGATAAAAGGAACTCAAGGACTGAGAGCTGAATATGTGTTTATTTATACAGAAGGCAAGAAGTGACTAGTGAATGCATGACTAGACCTCTACAGATGTGAGGAAGGAATATTTTAATACATATACCTATTTATCCCTGGTATCTCTTTATTATCTTTAATAAAAATATATCCCTGGCTATATCCTTTTACTCCTAGGAAGCAAAACCTGTATTTACATTAGTTGCAAAGGTAGCACCACTGAAAATTCAAGATCTGTTCACAATGGACTTAGAAGTTGTAGCTGTAAGTTTAGTGATTTTTGATGCTTTAAGAAATATAAAATTAATCACATATTAGGGAAATACTGTCTCAAAAATGATGCAGAAACAGATTTACTTCAGAATATGAAAGGCTCCTTTGATAAAGAAAATGCTAATGTAAGATTAGAATACAAGGTTCTATTCTGAAACAGAAAACCTATGATAAGAGGCAGCACTAAAAGCAAAGCCAACAAATTAATAACACAGTGTCCTGAACTCCAGTGTATCATTGTCCTTTTCAGCTCTTCCACAACTTCATCTAACATAATCTCAACAAATTGTTTGCCTCATTTCCCAGAAAAATGAACTGACCCTCCAGAACATTATTCCAATGTGCAAAATTCGGTTAGAATATCTTTGAATACTGGGAAGAATAGTACTCTGTGTGTTGATCAGTGTAACACCCTGACTCCCGGGAACATAGAGAAAACTTCAAACGGAAGAAGGAGCAGGGGAAAAACCAGAAATAAACCCATTCCCGATACAAATGTACAATGTGTGGGTTTTGTGGAGAGCAGTTTTTCCTGTAGATTGAGGAAGAGTCACATCTGACACTAATTCTGTCAGGCAAAACGGTCTCAGCAAAGGCAAGCAGGATTCACTGCTTAACCACAGCAACATAGGTCTGTTGCCTACTCAGAATCAATGAATATGCGTTTAGAATAAATGTGTACTTGCACAAAAAGATCAAAGAATTGTAACCTGAGAAGGTGTTGGACCAAAATCTCTCACTGCTCCCGATCATGCCCAGATCTATTGCCTTGATCCACTCTGTGAAATGTAGACATCCATTAATCCTTTCTTATTTCTCTGAAAGTTATTACCCATGTCTTACCTAGGAGCTATACCCAGGAAAGGCCCTTGCAAATATGCCTGATTTTTCCAGCTCCTCAGTTGTTTTATGATGCTGTTAGGCTGTGGAGGAAATGGTTTCATACACACAGATACACAGTTATTAGTTTAAAGCAATCTTCTGAACTGAAATTTTCCCTTCTGTATTTTTAAGAATCATCAAGTTCAATATATAAACATATGTAGAGGGTGTCTATTCAGTATTAAGCACAAAAGATAACAATAGATCAGGAGATCACTTCAGATGGACTTTGGGACTCTGCCATCCAGGGCCAGTGGTTCCAAGAGCGTGAATCTGCGCTGCCCTGGCCGCTGGACATGCAGGCCCTTGGCTGACACCCTTTGTCTGTGGGATTCAGCTTCTCTCTCTACAGCTATATACACTGTATTCGCCTATATTTCTTTGTGTTTTGGTGTGTGAGCTTCTTGTTGGACCATGGGTGCTGAGCAGCCACACAACACCCAAAGCCTACACAAAAGAAATGTCTGGAGACTGGGTGTCCCTGGGGCGTGAAGCTGTGCTGCTTGGGGAAAGGATGCTCTTAGGCCACTGCTAGCCAAATGGGGAATGGCACCTTCAGCATGCAGTAGGGGTTAGCACTGAGGATCTACAGCATGACAAGGTGACCAGGTAGACAAGTTTGTACTCTGAATATACAGATAGAAATAAACCCAGTGCCAGTGCAGGGAATGCAGATTTTTCAGGTACTCCGAACACCATTCATTTATTCCTTCAGAATAAGACAAAAGAAGTACTAGAGAAAGTTAGATCATTATTTACTGACGTGAACAGAAAGTTTGAGCTTGATCTATGGCAGCCGCCCTTCCTCCTAAGAAGAAAGTGTGGTGGAGGAAAAAGAGTACGAGTGAAGTTTGTCCAGAGGTTGTTAAGCTGAACACCCCCTTCAGACAACTGCTGCTCCAGACCAAACAGGATGCTGAAAAAACATCCCAGAGATGATGTGACTACAAATGGCTTTTTGGAGCTCAGGCTACAGATGGTGCCAAGTGCTTACTGGGCGTAGCTGAGTATCAATAAGCCCGCTATACTTCCTTGTATATCTCTGTTCATGGCCCTATCTATAAAAGCAGATGCTTTATCCAGTGAGCTACACAGTCTTTCATAACCATCTGTGGGGAATCTGCAGGTGTTAAATTAGCTACAGGAGGATGTCCAATAGACTTACATTGCCTATTATAACAAAAAAAAAAAAAGAAGCCGTTGCAGATTGCACACAGTTAAGGCTAAAGGGCTCAAGCCAAGATCTTTAAATAAAATCACATACAGATGAGATGTAATTTACTGTGATTTGCTGCTTCAGATTAAAACACAGAGAAGAAGAAATGCAGTCTTCATTTCCTAATGTAGGTTTTTCAGGTTCTTAGGTGGGGAGACAGTCCCATGAGATGTTGAGCAGTCTCAAGCTGCTGGCAATGGGACTTGCCAGGATCAGGCTTTTGCAGTCATTTTATACGGTGCTTTTTTTTTTTTTTGTGACTGGTCAATTTACTTATGATTTATATCCTCGTATTGTATATGTCAAGAGTCAGCAATTGCCCCACAGCTACTAATGGGAGTTATTTATTATTACTGTATAGAAAGAGCCAGAAAGCAACAAGTACCTTCCCTGTCTCAGTCTGAAGGATGAAGGCAGTTGGAAAAAATTTTTAATAGATCTTACTTGTCTCTTTGGTGTAAAAGAGTTGAAAAATTGGTAAAAAATGAACAAGGATTTTGTTTCTAGGATAGTCACAAGGAAAAGACATGTTTTATGCACAAATACACATATGCACACTTATTTTGTAGGCATAGGCACGGGCTAACCATCTCAGTAGTTCTTTTCAGAATCCTGAATTCAGGTCTGTACATATGTCTGGGAAAACTGCCATTTTCATATTTTTCACAATCTAGCATATATTAATCCAGTTTTTAAGAGCAGAAATTAAGATTAGGCAAATATCTATAGCAGAGATCTGTTTCAGGTGAGTATTCCTTCAGGAGCCCCCCCAAATGTTATAGCTGGGTGTAGAAAAAACCTGCAAGGCTTGACAAAATATTTCAGCTTTTTATATGTGAGCAGGAGTTCATATTTCTCCGAAAGCCCTTATCAAAGAAACCAAGCTATTACACATGAGCATTTTTCTCTGTGCACAGAAAAAATGTAATCGATCCAGAGGATCCGAGGTGCGCCAGGCTGACTCTCACGGGACAGATGGTCACGGTGCCTCCGGAGGAAGTGGAATTTGCCAAGCAAGCAATGTTTTCCAGGTCTGTATGTAACAGGCACTCAGTAGACTGCAACCCGCAGGTTTGAGACAAATATATGGATGTGGTCGTTTGGTACAGAAAATCTGAGAAGAAACAAGCCTGATCTTCACTTTGGGGCCATGAAGCACATTGGTTTCTGTGTGGCTTGGAATGACAGGCAGAGCTGTGCGACCTCCTTTTGACTATTGAGGTAACAAAGTATGGAAATGCAATTAGTCAGTATTAGACTCCAATAAGGCACAAGGTTTATAATCTGGGGATTATGAAAATATTTCACCTGGCTCCGAGGAGATATTCCATAAATCCAGGGTGTATTTGTTACCTTGAATGATTCTTCTCCACTTTAGGACAGGTAGTGCTCTTCAGCCACAGCCCCCTACTCAGAGCAGAGCTCTGCTGCCTTTGGGTTTACACCATTTGCAGGGTGGAGTGTGCAGGTTTTATTACCTCTTCTGACATACCAGGACAACTGCTACTAAATCCATAATACTTACCCAAGAGTCTCCTTTGAACAGATGCAAGCACATCCTAGGCACATACACACACCCCCAGGGTGTGCCCCCATGCCCTCCAGTGGGTCTTCAGAATAACAGACATGAAAAGCCCAAACCTTGGCTGGGGCCTGCACCTCCCAGACAGGCTGCCAGGGATGGTCTTCCAGGCGTACCCTGCCTGGTGGGAAACTGGGATGAGCTGGGATCCAAAACAGCCCAGGGGCAATATTCTCTTTGGCCTGCTGGAAGGGGTTAGGGTGGGATTCTGTCAGCGGGTGTCCCATCAAAAGCAAAAATGGGACCATGGACAGACAGGCGCTATATTGGCACACAAGCCTTTTTTACAGAAACAGATTCCTATGCAAGCCTGAATCCACCAGCACCTCTGCAGTGGCTGCTCTGGCTTCAGGATGCAAAAGCCAGACTGACATGGTGAGGACTGCCAGGGGTCACATCATCCAATGCCAGCAGCAGCTGGAGCCACTTCCCAGTGACAGAGTTGTGGGTGTGCAAAGGGCCAACTCAGGAAACAGTGGGAAGCCCCAGCTCTACCCAAAGGCTGCCAAACCAACCGTTTCCTCTTCAGGGTCCTCAGCAGGGGCAGAGGGGCACTGGGCCAACCCTGCCCCCACTTGCACTTCTTCCCACTGTGCTCACACGAATATGGCAGCTAGAGCTGTTGTATCCACCCTGTGCACCACTGCTGAGCATCCCACAGCATCCTCTGCAGATTCACTCACTGGGGCTTGGGGACCAGACGTCTGCACCCAGTACTGCTGGCAGGGAGGTCTCTTCAAGCTAATTGCAGGCCCAAGAAATGAGACAGCAATACAGGTTGAGAAGGGTCTAGAAGGCAACTACCCAAAGAGGCTGTGTGCTGCCTGCTAGCCAGTTTTATTAGCTCTCCTGCCATACCACAACTGCTACCAAAGATGTAATATTTTCAGAATTCTGTTTCCTTTGAACAGATACAAGCACAACCCTGACACACATCCAGAGAATCTCCTCTAACTGTTTTTCATTTACTTAGAGACCAAACAACATATGCGTTCAGAGATGGGGTTCTGCAGTGGGGGAAGATGGTGTTCACTGGCTGCCTTCATTGCGGTTCTTGCCAGACTGGAGTGTGGAAGATCATAAACCTTACTGCAAGGGAGGCAAAAAAGATGAATGGTGGTGGTTCTCATGTCTCAGGTTTCACTCTGGCTGAGCATGCTAGGCTGAAGAAAAAAGCAGACTATGCATATGCTTTGGCACATCTTTTCAATTCTTTTTTATATTTCTCTTTGTCCTTCCAGGCACCCAGTGGTAAGAAAGTGGCCTCGTAGCTATGAGTGGTTCTTCATGAAAATGAATATTGAGCACATCTGGCTTCAGAGCTGGTATGGAGACGTTTCTGCCATTGCAGTAGAAGAGTATATAAAAGCAGTTCCAAGTAAAGGGTGATTGAATGGGCTTCAAGATAGAGATCTTCTGAGTTTCCTTCCCAAGCACGTAAAATTTCATGCTGGGTGGTTACTTTACAGTGATATTTTTTTTGTCCCCAAAAAGCTTCAAAATAGCCCTGTCTTACATCGAGCAGAGTGAAAATAAACCAACACAGACTCAAATTATAAAGGAGAGGTGGATACTAGCCCTACCCTGCAATGTACAAACTTGTCACTTCAAACAGGCAACACATCATCTTAAATGCTGCTTAAAAATGCTTTATATCTGTTTGTTTTGACTTCCGCTGCTGTGCACCCACAGGGAAACTACAGTATGTGCTAAATATAATGTTCTGATTTACAGAAAAGGCAAATTGCCTACTCAGAACCCTCTATGCATTGTGGATGTATTACTGCTGCTTGGTCTCCCTTGATTTGTAAGTACTCTAAGAGAAACTTAATAGCTACAAATTTAGATATTTAAGTTTTAAAAAAGTATTTTGCTAAGGCTGTCCTCATTTGCTAACTTATATTTTCTACATGTGCTTTTCCCTAATTAGATAATTTGATATTTTGCGTGGAAATTGAGTAGAAATTCTCTCTTTTAGAAAAAAATGCAAGCAGCTCAAACAACACGGCTCCAGTATAACTTGTCTCTCACTGACACAAAGCTGGTTAAATGTGTTAAGGGCCAAAACCAAATCAGTCCCACAAGGATTATCCTAATACAAGTATAAACATTCTCATAAGAAGAATTTAAGTAAATGTTCTCAACTAGCCTGTTCCTGTTATGAGACAAGAAAAGCATTTTTAATAGCCTGTAGTCCTGATTTTTTTGCATCCTTTCTCCAGCCAATGCTTTATTTTTAACTCATTTGTACAACCGATTTTTGTAAACCGTCACTAACTCATCTAGAGATGGAGCCAGTCTTTTAACTCTTTTTTCCACACCAAATTTTAAAGGGCTTGATCATGTATTTATTTTTTAAAGAAGCCTAAAAATAGGTAGATATTTCAGGCCATGAAAAACCTCATTTACCTAGTGTGGAAAGTGCAAACTTTGTTGCAAATGCACTATGAATAGCCATTATCTCCTGTGATAATACCAAAAGAGTTCAAAGGTCTTCTGTTCACCTTCAGCCGTTTCTCTACATTTCCTGGTAAACTTATTCTGCAGTTCATAAGGGTATGACAGTAAGAAAATTCCCATGGCTAACCAGCCAAGTCATTACACAGTTTGCAAATTATACGGCTGTTCTCCCTGTTACACATTGAGATGAGGTTTCTGTGCCTGTGGGGAAGGTCTTCCAGCATCCCTGGGAGGGCCCTGAGCTCTGGATACCAGCCTGCACCATGGCTAGGCTGAGGAGGAGACTGCATCCCTGGGCGAGTGACCCGAGCTTGTACAGGTTAATACCCAGGCAGAGCTCAGAGGCAGCTGCGTGAGCTATGACCAGCTGGAAGCCAATTAAGTGCAGCTGAGCTTAGTTTGGTTCAGGCATGGAGAGAGGAAGTCATTCCCAAAGCGGAGCTGGGTACTGTGCTGATTTAACTACCAGGGGCCAGTTATCCCTTGGGCAAGTTCAGGGCTCCAGGCATTACTACGATTCCTGATATTCATTAAGAATCAAAGACAAATGTAGGGGAAAAGCTTTGTTTAGATGCTTGTTAAGCATTTCTTGTACTTGTCTCATTGCCAGAGACTGTTAGCACTGCAGATCTTTTGCAGAGGTAATTACGCAAAAGGAGGAAGTGTCCTGCCTGAATCCATTCCCTTTTTTATTTTTTCTTAGCAGATGAGCAGCATTTACCCATTTGAGTTTACCCCCAAATCTCACACAGTGTAGTATTGAAGCAAAACAACCCATCCTGTACAGATTTATACCATCAAGTGAAATCCTCCTCGATTCATATAATTTTGCCATGGAGATCTTTGTCCACTGTGGATTTGATACTTTATCCATTAGAATTAATGGGACTTTTAAAACTGAGTCGAAGAGGCAGAGTACTAGTCCCTTACAAGGGAATCTCCACAGGTCTAGCATTTCTGTGCAACTTTAATTACATGTTTCATTATCCCAGTTCACTACTATTCCCAGAGAAACCTGAACTGCCTATTCTCTCCCCCGCCCCTAAACACACACACACACACACAGATTAAGCAAATCTGTGACATGGTCCTATCTTGCCTTAATGCAGTAAGGGATTGTATCAGTGATGTACCTTAGAGCTTTAACTGTTTAAGAAGTAAGGGTGCACTAAGAAAGGTTTTGAATTTACAGTACCCTACTTGCTGTAGGCTGTCTCCTTGCACGCCTAGATTAATTGGAGTAGCTTCTGTATTGCAAATTGACACATTCATCAAGAAGCTTTTCTATATGGACCTGCCATAAGGTTCTTGACAGGACCTCAAAACATGAAATGGTGATGGCATGTAAAGTGATAAAAGGGGCTTCGTGAAGAAATGCTGTCTTAAATCACCTGTTCTCATTTCACAGTGCATTCTCCAAGGAATAGCTACCATAGAAGTCCTTGAAAGTCTGTAGAAATACATCAAAAATATCACCTGGAGGTTTTGGATGGAATTTCCCAGACAAAAAAAAAGGGGAGGAGATGGTAGTTTGCTTAATTGGGCTTTACGTTATTAACTATATACTAGTTGCAATTTTTCTTTAAACTGAGAAGTGTCTCCAGTGATATTGGTCATCATGTGGTAAGTGGTATCTGTTAAAGCTTTTAATCCAAAGAGTTTTATTGAGATATCATAATAAAATCATTGTTGTTGAGACTGTAAAGGGTCTGATCTTGCATCAGTTCAAGTAAATAGCAAAAATTCCATTTATTTGTTGTGCTTTAATTATTAGAATAAACTTTTTTATAAAAGGTCTTGTAAGCACTTACGAATTTATTAAGCATTTCCACTAGCTGGTGTGTAATTTATTTCCACGTGTTCTGTATTTGAGTTATTTCTGTAGCTTCCCCCAAAAAGCTTGTTGTGCAATGGGTATTATTTAAAACTTTAACTGTGGGTTTGCAATATTTAAGAGGTGCATTTAGTTATATCTGTATATTTGCTGAAAAAAGGAAGACAAAGTTCTAAACCTGGGTTCTCACTTTTAGCTAATTTGTACAAATGTAATGCATGTACAGGATTTAAGCACAGCTAGTTTGAACTGCTGTTCTTATTTAACCAAAGAAGGCCCTGTTTCTGATAAAATTTTGATCACTTCAATGGATGAAATGCACCCTGTCTTGTTTCTGGATGCGTATTGCAATTTGCAATGTATTTTGATTTCTAAAGATATTGAATGTTGTTAACAAAATGGCTATTGAGAAGAAATGCAAATAAATCAAGTATCAAAGTGGAAACTGCAATTAGAATATTCTTTAATCTGCTGTACAGCCTTAACCAGAATAACTGACCTTTTGCTGACAGCCATTATAACTTCTGTCTAATCTGAACATCTGCTTTTTTTTTTCAGTTTTCCTGAACCAAGCTAATTTCTCTCAAAATATTTCTGGGAATTGAGACTCAGATCTGCCTTGGTACAGCCTCGATTTTCTCTGGGAAGAAAAGTCTAGCCAAGCACCTTTTATCTTTTCTTCATCTTCTTGTTACTGTCAGCTTTGCTTTCACTGTGGCAGTCAAATGTCACCCTTAACAATGTTTCCTCTTCTTCTCTGCACGTGAGGACTGATCACCCACCTCTCCCGTGTGCATTAATGGTGTGTTGGAAGTTTTCTCAGTGCTATTTCTTCCCTTGTTAGCCTTGCTCTTACAAGTTCTTGTTACAGCTTGTTCTCCACTGTCCACCTTCCTTTGGCATGTTTTCTTAAGCCAAGGCTGAGATTTTACCTTTTCATCTTGCTTTCCTGCACCATCTCCTTTCAGCAAAATTCAGGCTCTCCTACTAAAAGTCCCACTTATCTGATAAAGGTTATAGGAAACAGCCTGTGTTTCCTATTTACGCCTTACAGTCTTTGTCTTGCCCCTGGTTGGACTGCATTCGCTGTGAGGACCGTGACAACAGTTTCCTAACCTGTACAAATCACAGTCAACATCAGTTTCCTATTTCCAGTGACTCCATATTCTTAAAAGTACATTTCCTGCAGCTGTTCTTTTAATTTGTACTGACTCTTTTTACTTTTATCCGGTCTCTAGAGTGATACCTGTTCTGATCACACTGAATGTCTTGTCTTTCAGACTCAGTAAAGTACTGTCACTTTTTTTTATCTTTTAGACAAACAGTGAATTTGTGCTCCTTCCAAATTGTCACTTGCCATCCTTCAACACGGCTCATCCTTTACCTGCCTCTACTCTGCCGCCACCTTGCCATCTAACTTCTCTGTTGCCTTACCCTCTTTTTCCCAATTTTTTCTTCATTAACCCTCACTTTTCTTTGTTCT